AACATTGCTCTGCAGAGAAGAACTCTTGGGAAGTCATACCTTGATACTGCTCAGCAGCACCTGTCCAACACTCCTTAGCTGAGGTCTTGCGACCATTTAGAGCTAATGTTTACTGAACTTGCCCAAAAGGTTGAGCATTTGGCTCGGAAACAACAGGAAAGCAAAAATGCTAGGTTTCTAGACGAAAAAAGGCGCGTGACAGCGGCCATAAGCTCACTCGAAGGAAACGCTATAAATGATCACCAAACTGAGCACTTTTGACGGAAAATATTAGGGTTCCTCAGGACCATCTTGAGCAGAATCTATGCGAGAATGCCAAACAGAGGCAGGAAGTTTCCGAGCTGCGCCATACTAATAAATTCCTCAAAATGAAATGCGCCGAACTGATGAACGAGAACTGGGCTTCAAAGACCGTTCTAGAGATTCGTGAAATGCAGCTCAAAAAAGGGATACACATCGGAGAAGACTCGTAACAAACTGACAGAGGAAATTGCGATTTGCCGCCTACGCGATTCGCGTGTCACTGGACGAACTGTTGGGCAGTTTTGGCTAGACCTTGAAGAAGTGCTCCTGAAAGATTGTAAAGGGTTATTGCATGGAGTGACCTGCAGTGAGCAAAAAGAAATATTCCTGCAGCCGTGTGCACATAAACCCTTTCGAGGCGAAGGAATCACTTCCTATAGGAATCTTTGCAGTGATGTCCAGCGCACAGTTCGCAAAATCGCAGTAATGTTTGACGAGCACGCTGTAAGTAACACCTTCTGGCAAGACGTTTCTCACACTACAGATAACATATTCAGAATGGAACAGCGCGAATTTTACAGGGACAGAGGAAGGAACTGGACAGGACGAGCGCTCGCCCTGTCCATGTTCCTTCCTCTGTCCCTGCAATATTCGCGCTGTTCCCTTATGAATACATACCAACTCGCCCAGCTATCCTGTTTGCCAGATAACCTACCGTCACTTACACTCATCAACAACTACAGAGAAGCCGTTGACGAGTGTTTTGAGACGGTGAAAACGCCGGGAAATTCCATCGGGGCTCAAGTTTCGTTTTTAAAACAGGTGGATGCTGTAGTGCGAGAAATAGCAGTAGAAGAAAAGAAGACCCTCACCGAACTGAGTGCTGATAGTTTTACACTCAATATCAAAGGAGATGGATATAAAATAAGTTAGAAGACGTCGTGGATAACGCTATAGTTTGTCGTGATCCGTTCCAACAAACCTCTTCAAAGTTCCCGGTTCCATCGACTACTTGCTCTTGTCAAAACGCCAGAAAATTCTTTGGCCTGAGAGAGAGAGATGGGTTTCAAACACTTGTAAATGAGATTAATGGCATCATACAGGCAAAGCGAATAGTCGTCGGCGATGCTACTTTCTGTGTAGACATCTTCTTGGGTGGTGACAACTTCCTCTTGGTCTTTCTATGACTGCAGTCAGCTTCATCTAGATACTCATGTCCATTCTGTTTTGCCGAACCAAAAGACAAGTATAGTCTTGAGGCTGCCAGCAAATTGGACGGCCCGCCTTTTGTGCAGGCACTCAGCAACATGAAGTCAGATTGCGACTCACTCCAACATGGCGTTTTGTACCCGCCCCTCTTTCATATCGAAACATCCGCGGTATAGTATCAAACACACTGCATATGAAGGCGGGGATATTTAACCTGCTTTTAGATCCTCTATTAATCTAGCTTGAAGAACTTGATTGTAAAATAATGCGAGTCCCCGGAGCTTCGAATGTGCACATGACAAAGTTTGCAGCATTGGTAAACGGGCTCGGAGTGAGGTTCGATATCTGGGAGGACGAAAACAAAGGGAGCGTGTTCACTACAATAGCCAGCGAAGAGTGCAAGCTGCTAATGAAATTTATACCGGAAACATTAAAGGAAGCCTACACAAAGAGACAGAACACTTGCTTGTCTTTCTTTAGACGGCATTTTTTGAGAAGTGAGTGAACACCTAGAAACAAACACAGATGGTCAAGCTTAAACAACCGGAAAGAATAAACACAAATTCGGGACGCAAACAGACGTTTGCGTCCTGAATTTGTGTTTATTCTTTCCGGTTGTTTAAGTATTTACAAACACGCTAGTTTTTTTTAATGGTCAAGCTATTGTCCAAAAATCTGGGTTATTTTTTAGGACGATTCTGGACCTTGGGAAGACCACTTTGAATCGCTATGGGAGCAGTCGGGTGACAGCCTACATTCACATTTTGACGCAGGGATGGGCAAAATACATGCAAATATGTATCGAAATACAAATACAAAATACTTCGTCAAAAATGTATTTAATTACAGATCTAATTACATTTCCAAAGAAGAATTTAAATACAAGATACAAATACAGCCAATTGACGTATTTGGTCTCCTACAAATACTTTTCCAAATACATTCCTTAAAATTTGCGTCAGCGACTTCAGGGCACCTGCTACGAGTTTCTGGGTATCTCATTTTAATATTGTATTACACACTCGGGAGTTAGTGTGCGAGGCTCTAGTAACTTAATAGAAATATAATCACAAAAAAATGTAATCAGCTTGGACGTAATAGGTGAAAAAAGTACAGAGCTTTAAGCAGCTTTTTTTGTCGATTACATTTTGGTATAGGCCAACAAAGAACCGAGACGACCAAGACGCGCAGCATTAGCTAGAGAATTTTTTATCGTTGCAACTCGCACCAGTTACGGAAATCTCGACGACCCGCGCATTTAGAATGTTCCAGGCAAAAATATGGACGGAAATCAGGCTGGAAAGCATCACAAGTTGTCACAGGCACTCATTTAGCCAGTCTGCCTGTGAACGTCGATTTCGTCACTATTCTTGCCCTGGACTAGCACGGTCGTAATCACAAAGCCACTAAACGCTTGTGCTTGATTGAGAGACACTGCATTCGGTGCAGAACGTAGTTTTCTTCCTGCTCTGGACAGTGACAATAAATTTGAGGGATGTATTTTCGCCCAAAAAATTGTATTTAATTACAATTGTATTTGAAATACCCACGTTTTAGTATTTAAATACACACGTCAAATACATTATCCAATTTGTAATTAAATACAAATGTAAAATACACAAAGTATTTGAAATACGTATTTCAAATACTTGTATTTGAAATACTGCCCATCCCTGTTTTGACGCATCATACTTCTGAAAAGCACAACAAGTCCAGATGCCTCGGTTAATTATCTAGCCAAATACCAAAAAAGAAAACAACAAAAAAGCGTTCATTCTGCATTTTGCAAGGACAAATAAATGAAATACAGCTGAGGATGCCCTGAAAATTGCAAAACGCTGCGAGGTTCTGCAACATAGTAGACGCGTACGTCTTTATGTAAAACGTGATTACAAGTACTGGAGCGCAGGCGGAATTCAAGAAAGCGTCAAGAGTAGGAGACGTTCTGCGGTCGAACTACTAACCGACGCGAGGGCACCTAACTTTGACGTCATGAGTACGGGAGAATTACGGACTGGATTGCAGGCTTTATGTGTGCATACAATCGCTAGGTCTGTAGCTAGGCTTCGCGTTATGTTGGCTATGTGGCAGAGCATTAAAAGGAATGATGCACAATATTCATAATGTCGCTCTGTCTAGTGGCTTTTCATGAGTGGCCGTCCACGATATTTGTGGAAAGGTTGTCATACCCTACTTGGTCCAACCTAATGCCGAATTTCTGTGAGCGGTGCCTTCATCTCTACTATTCTGCAGAGCAGCCAAATTTGTGAAAGAATCGAGTAAAATCATGGAAAATATTTTAATCCTCAGGAGTTCAACGCTCTATAACCTTATTGAACGATTATCACCCAAAACGAAAAACGCCGAGTCGCCGGTCTGCAAATGAGAAAGTGCTGCCTACTGTATTCCATAGAATGGCTACTGCGCGTGCTCGGATGGCGTACCACAGCCCAGTAAAGAAGGGTGACAGCTCGCAGAAGGCGATTATTAGAATGGTCTACACAATGCTATGTGTCTACTTTTTTGTAGAAGGCGGAGTAAGTAGGAGAATGTCTTCACCAGAACGAAATCTACGACCTGACTTTGCACGTGGAGTTTCAAATGGTTATATTTTTTTTTCTCAGTGCCATATCAACTCCCGTAAAAAAAGTGGTGCAAAGTGATCACGTGTGTATTTTGAGAACGCCAGTTAGGTTCTCGTGACATTGTGTTTTCCCTGCCTTACTTATCCTGAAAAATGACCCCTGTCCATAGACTCTTCCCCAGCGTGAAGGGGACACTGTAAATCAATGGTTCTCAAACGGTGGTCGCCTGACCTTTTAGGGTTCCTGAAGTCCTTCTTAGTGTCCGCGAAGCCCTCGATTAATCAGTTGAATCGAGCAATTAAACTGTTTTTTTTTATTGACAATAGAAGCCCCACGAAGCTAAATATACCAAACAATGTGCGCAGAGTGAGTAGGGTTGATTATTCTACGTTTAAGAGCTTCAAAACTGGTTAGCATGCATTTACTTTTCTTCATTCACCAATTAATTATTGTAATCGTTCAAAACTCCTCCCCCTCCTCGTGGATGGCGCCTCCTATCATCTCCATGGATCCAGAAGGGGTTCTCAAAATATCAGCAATTGAGAACTACTGCAGTAAACCTTCTGAAGGGCGAGCAGCTCCCTCTGCGGCACCGAAAGGATTGCCAAGAAAATCCTCTATCAAACCAACTGCAGCAAACGATGGAGGCGACGCAGGAAACGCACCGCCCAGGCGAGCCTGCGAGAGGCAACTGCGCAACCCTTTCCCCCTCTCACTATCTCTTTTGCTCATTTTCGTCATGTCACATAGAAGATGTTTCGAGGACAAAAGGAGCGTACAGGACGTTCTCATAATTCGTTACGCTATTGGCGCGGAGCCTTTTTGGATTTTTGCGAGCTTGGTGTCTTGCCCTGTCGTCGCAGGTCAATGTGCTCCTTACTGTACTTCCATAAACGTTCATTTTCGGATTTAGGGCGTGGGGGGGTATTTCATATCCTCTAGAAAATAAACCAACAAACTCACCCGTCATTGGCGACGATGTTCACGTAGTCGGTCTGATCGGTCCTCTGGACGAAGCGCACGCAGGTCTTGTTTTCCAGTTCCAGCATTGCCTTTCGAATGGCCCGTTTGCGTCGATCTGCACCAACGTTGCACAAGCCACGCGTTGTTTTGATCACGAACTTTATTCGAACTGGACATTATTGAGCAGCAGGTATGAGGGATGGCTACCCTTCTATCTCTCAGACCTACTGGTCCTGCGACTCACCCGCCCTTGCCCCACCCCTCACCCACATCCTTTCGTGGGAGCAATAGCTGGCCCCCGCCCCCGGACACCGACGTACCAACCGCACTCCAAGCACTCGTTTATGACTTCTAACCCCTTGCGGAATCCGTAGTAGACAAGCCCCATCGTATAGCGAACAAACCATGTTCTCCGCTTTCGTTGGCAGACCAGCCGTGAATGAACGTTAGCTCGCTCCGTGGAAGACAAACTAAATCATGCTTTCGCGGTGACCAATAGGGGCCTCCGAAACTGCTCAGAGGGGAAAAAAATTGCTAGGCAATTGTGTTGCACACGTGAAACATTCTAGCATCACAAACGTTTATATTATCGTTTAGCCGCACATCTCGCCTATTCAGCCGCTCACGTTCGCGGCGCTCTTCATCAGATAATTTAACGCGTGGCATGTGTACACTTGACATGATAAACATGGTGATCTTCCAGAACCTTCTAACCCAATCCCCCTTCCACCTCGCCCCCTCGCCTACTTCTCCTCCTTTCACCACCCCAGGTCACATGACGTCAGCCTTAACCAATCAGCGTCGAGCACCTCACACCACCTATCCCACCCGTCAACCTATCAGTGTCAAGCCTCGCGGCCTCACTTTTGTCCAAGCTTCAGTTATGGACTTCTCCAAATGCCGAATACCTTGCAAAAGAACGTTTCACGTTATAAGCATAGTAATCAAGAGTTATGCTGACCAAATACTTATTGACTGGTCGTCTGCACGCGAGCAAATGAGAAAAGGGGCCGACTCTGCTTATCAACATGGCGGAACGTTTCTTACCGGAAGTGAAAAGGCGATTATGAAACCGCTATACAGGGCGAAGGCTCGAACACGTCTTGGGTAACATTAACCTTCTATGAAATAATACATTAATGAGGTGTTTATGTGCTAGCGTGTTTTCGCTTGTACCACCTCTGATTGACGCTCACTTTTGGAAGCTATGTTCCGGGTTACTCATTTCGATCGGGCTTTCTAACATTACTCTGTTGAACATGACTCTGTGCAGGTTCAAACCTGCTTCTGTGCAGGTTTGAACCTGCGCAGGTTCAACCTGAGCAGAGAGCCCCTCCTCTGTGCACATGCCTGTGTGCAGATATCAAAGTTCCAAGATAAACTGTTCTCATTCAGAAGTTATTAGTGATTTTCTGTGGGTTTTAATGGAAAATTGGCCCCCTTCCCAGTATAGCTGACGCCATTCATCTTCATGTATACGACGGATTCAGCGGTCGCCTACACTATTTCGCTATAAACATTTCCTAAAGTTGTTCATAACTTTTGAATGAGATAACGGCAAGCTGTGAAACTTGGGCTTTTGTGTGTTCGGCGATACGTACGGTCTACTTTTGGAAGGAGAAAAAAGCGCTGTAAATGTTTTTATTCGTTTTGTTTTTCTTGGCGGGGGAAAGGGGGGCGGATTCTGTACTTTAAGCAAGTAATTTGCGGCCGTGGTGGTCAACTGTTTCCCCCGACCTCCATTGTTTTCCCGCTATAGCACAGAACGACTCTCTATAGTATCATATCAAGCGGCTCTGAAATCAACTAACCGAGAGCGTTGATAATAACTTAAAATAGTAGGCAGAGAGTTCAATATCTTGGTTTCAATGTGCCCTTGCTCTGGTTGCACCCCACGTGGTGATATAAGGTCATATACTCTGTCTCACAATACCGTGACGAACTCTGGACATGGTGGCCTCCGCGAACCAATAAGGGCGTCGGAGCGAGGCACGCGACGACACTCCACGGTCGAGGCCACGGAGGCCTCGTTACCGCCACAGCAACAGCGTTGTCTGCGGCAAAAAGTAGTTCTAGGCTTTTTTTTTTTTTTTCGCTAACTGAACTCGCGCGATTGCGTCTCTGTCGACAGCACGACACGAAAGAAAGAAGAAGGCATGTTACTTTTTAACGATACTTAATTCGGATGAAACCTTTTCCGAGGACAGCGTGCCTTTTGAACGATGCTTGAATGAGCGCAGCGCTGTGACCGACCGCTTCCGCTCAATAAGTCACCCTGGTATTAGCACCCGCCACAGATTCGCTGTTAAATTGGGCGTGTGGTAATCCCATGAACTGTTCCCGAAGAGCTCGCTACTCTAGCGGGTGGCAATGTTAGGGCGGTGGACGTTCATCCGAAGTTGGTTGGTTTCGCAGCAGACGACTCTTGGTCAGCAGACGACAGCCGGTTCTTCCGGGTCTCTCATTTGACGCAGGGACACAAACGCTCCCGTGACGTGTTGTCACCTGCTTCGCTCCAACTATACTACGTTTAAGTCCAGGCACAGCCGACACTACTGGCTAATGGGACTAATCAAACAGCGTCAAAAGCGCAATTCACTAGACCTTATTCTGTTTATGACTTGTTCAGCGATGATAGAACACCTACAGAAACATGACGAACACCGTGATGGCGAGCTTTTCAGTTGTCTGACTGGTTCCATCAGTTAATAGCATCGGCCGCGTCAGCACTACAGGTGAAACGGAATAAAACTCGGACGCTTTTATTGCGTCGCGGGGGCCGTAGCCTGCTTCTATCGCTCTTTGCTGGGCTGTAAAACGCCTTCTGAGCACGCGCAATAGCCCTCTCCGCGATCTCCGCGAGATATCGTACTCTGCGCCTGCGTCCACAGGCCAGTGACTCGGCATTTTTCACTCGGTTGATAGGCGTTGGAAAGATGTATAGCTGGTTGCCGACTTTCGCGATTTAAGATTTCTGAAAGTCGAGCAGATTGTGACATATTCAATCAAAAATACAAAGCGGATTCGTATCAAATACGACAGAGAGTGGAAGCATAAAGTTAAAATATGCGATTATGCTTCCTGATTATCGCCAAAAGGCGTGTCATGATAAAAAAAAAAAAAAAGCTACAACGTGTGGTTGCGCTGTTAAATGTATTTATGGGAATTCTAAAATCGTGTTAATGATTTTAAGCCTCAAATTATTATTTAGGCACGAACAGATTATAAAACTTAGTCGGATTGTTTATTTCTTGGTTCTAAAATTTACAAAAACCGTATTTCCATCATTCTATTGAACAAATACAGAGGGTGATTTTTATTCGAGCAAATGTTTTTACAAAAAGGAGGTTTTGGGTGCGTGCCGTCTTCACTGCGTATATTTCAGGCTCGGCGGACATCAAATGGGGAAATAATACCATGGTAAGGTATGGTAAGGTGACCAATTAAATGAAGCATCTCGATTAACTTTTTAATTATTACTTTAACTGGTTATGTTGCAATTGTAGTATTGACAGAAATAACTATTAGAGGCCAGGACAACTTAAAAAAGGCAAAACATATTCATTTTTAGATATTAAATGATATTTTCTTTACCTTTTACACTGATATAAGTGTAAGTGATGTAAGTGATTCATTAGCAAAGAACCGTTGCGCACACAGCAGCTTGCCAGGCAAAGCAGGTAGGCAAAAATTGTTCGGCGATCAATGGGAATCACCCGATGAAAATCCGCTAGCACTGACTCTTTCTCACCCTCTTCCGTTCGTTTAGGACTCTTGCCATTTCTTAATCTCCGCTTTTCTGTCGTTGAACAATGCCTTTCCTCTTCGCTTTTCGCTGCACGCTTCCGTCTCCTTGCCTCTGCGGCGGCCACCTCGGTGGCTCCAAGGCGAGAGCGCTGGTCTACGGATCCCCATGTGGCGGGTTCGAATCCCGGCCGAGGTGCCCGCAATCTGACAGAGGCTTATTGCGGAGGAGGCGCCGAGTAACCGAGCTTTCGGTTGCACGTCAAAAGATCCCCAGGTGGTCCAAATTAATCCTCAGTCCTCCGCTGGGGCGTGCCAGATGCCCGTCGTTGGTTTGGAACGTAAAACCCCCAAATTTGACTTTGACTTTGGCCTCTGCGGCAGCAACCAAACGATACTGCGACGTCTAGCGTAGCAAAGGCGGCGTGGCGCAGCCCACACATATGCTGATTGGCAGCAGAAATTTAGTTCCTGCACTTGCCGGCCATCGAAAAGCGCACGTTCTGCGCTACGCTGCGTTCGCTGCGCTTAACGTCGGAGCACAACAGAGCCGTTACGCTCTTCCTCTGTGTCGGCCTGACGTCGCCGACGCGTGGCCTCTGTATATATTGACGTGTAATTTTGTTTCAGAGAAATGAACTGTGTTTCTGTATTAATAACAGAACTGCAATAATGTGTATGCATATGTATCTTATGCATTCGTAAAATGCATTTAAAGATTTTCATCTCGTTATATTTTGCGCCGTTTTATATCAAGTAGCTCTTTGGTAAAGTATTTGTAAATGTGCCTAAAAAGTTTTTATTTGACGTGCTTTGCAAATTTGTTCGCGTAGAAATATTTTATTGTAATTTTTAATATTATGTGTACGTGTCGCATTATCTTACTACGTTAAGCAAAATAAATTTTTACTAGGTGCATACTTCGGTATAAAATTCACGGCTGTGCAAAGTACACTAGCGAAACCTTGGCATTTTCCACGCCTCGAACTTCGAAATGTTGTATCTCCGGAAGAAAGTAAGCCACGGCGTTCGCATATAGCTGAATGCCAAGAATATGGTTTAAAGATATGTTTTTTTACATAAATATAAAGAGATATGACCCGGACCATCATTGCATGATCTGGCATGAAACACCTTACGTATACCCTCAATATTGGACCGAGAAGTCTTTTTGAGATCCCAAACAGTAAAGTGAATATGCAGAGATGAGCACAAGCTGACAGTGGAACAAGCATATAGATGATAATTTCGATGTTTATTATATATGCGTTAATCTATAAGTTATCTACGATGATTTTATTGAGAATGTAACTAGATGGCAATTTCGTTTAAGTCCGGTTCACGCGTACAGCACAGCGCTAAATCACCACTAGGAATAGCGTTGGTGCAGCGTTGATATGAACGTCACTTAGCAATGATGTAGCACTGTATCAGCATCACTAATGCAGCGCTAGGTAAGTGCTTCATGAGCATTGCCAGCGCTATTTCCAGCACCGATTAATAGCGCGCTGTGTAGCGCTGTGGTGAATGTCTGGACAGAATATTCGCACCTTCTTAATACGGCAGATAGATCGACCAACCTAGCTTGCCGCCCTTTCTTTCACGCACTTACTCAGCTTGGGATGTATGGTGTAGTAAACAACGCCTCCTGGCCAGAGCAGGTCTTGGTCCGTCGTCACATGCTTCTGGAAAAGGTCACAAACCACTTAAAGACCTAAGAACAAGCACTCAAGGTTTCATAGAAATGGTAGATTAGCGTCTGTAACGATGCATTTTAATAGGAAAAAATCTCTGGCCTTCGTGTATGGCGTAAACAAGTACCACTTCTACGTCTATGCCCGCACCATCCCTCTGGTCACCGCCCATATGCCCTCGTAGCGATGTTTTTTTTTTTTTTTTATGAGAGGAGGGGGGGAGGGGGGGATTGGTGGCCGAGTGGGCTAGCTCACACCAGCTCGGAGCACGTGGAGCGAAAGCTCGCGCTGCAGACCCAGGGATCCTGGGTTCATCACCCCTGCCCGTTTCCATCTGAATGAGCATCGTACCGGCGTGCGGTCGTGTATCACTACTGCGTGATGCACGTTAAAGACCCCAGACTAGCGGTTGTACTGCACTGGCTAACTTTCTCATCTACAGCTGGGAGACACGTCGCCTGTTGGGGCAGACCAAGTTCTAAACTGCATAAACATACACACAACCCATTAATTTTTTTTTTAGCGAATTTTTGGTCCGAAGACTGGCGTCTCCGCCATTGCTGCTGCCAGGCTACAGCGTTGGGCGGTCACTCTGTCAACTTACAAGTACACCCTGCTCTACTGAACGTTCGCAAACAACGTAGATCCGGATTGCTTCTAACGCCTTCCCAGTTCGCCACCCTTCCCATCTCCCCCTCTCCCACTCTTAGCTTGACGTCGGGTATCCCCTTTGGTTGCTGCACCTCGGGGCTTGATGAGCCAACAGAAGCTGCCGGCTTATCCGGCCTCATAATGCAGCAACAAAAGAAGTATACCCCCGCCGTCAAGATAGCAGTGGGAGAAGGGGAAATAGAAGGGTGGCGAGGAGGGTTTTCCTACCTTGCGGAAAAAGGATTTAGTAGGTCGGCCTTAAAGGGCTGGCCTACAGAATTATCTTCTGCCGGTCAAAAACCGGTTCCCGGTTTCCCTCTCTCCATTCTCTCGCGCAGTCTTGTCTCTTCTTTTTTTCACGAGAGAGGGTATCAGACCTGCACCATCTAAAAGGAAAGCCGCAGCGCTTGGAGGCCGAACCTTACAGGACCTTTCACAGATTGTCCGCAAGAGGTTTGCGGTGCTCAGCGGGAGATGGCGGCGTACGATCTACGAAAAGACCCTAATTACGCTGACTATCTCCATGTTCGTTCAAAAGAAGGAGCACCGAGACTGCCTCGGGGTTATTCAAGTGCGACAAAATGAACCATTACAACATCCGTCGGGCGCCTGAATGCATACCTGGCGAAGCTTCCTTGAAGTTATTCTTGTCTTTCGACGTAGGTTATAAAACGTTCGAGGAGCTAATGCCACACTCACATCATGACTGTCACGTAGGATGTCGCCTTGGAAAAAGTGTCGTTTCAATAGGGCGCTCTTGGCTTGTCTTCTGTCCGCTAAAACACAAAGGGTAAGAGAAAAAAGAATATACATTATTTTCCGGCCTCTAGGTAGTACCGTGTAATAAATGACGCTTATATATATTTGTACGGTTCGCACGGCAAAAACTATAAACCCACATATGCGTGTTGTGGTCGTAATGCAAACGCAAGTGGGAGCCTGTTTCAATGTTCTCGCCAAGAAATCGAACGGAAAATATAACCCCCGCGAGAAATTTGAGCAGCTATATAAGGTCCATACCTGTAGGACACAAAAGATACGCATACAGGTCGCAACGTTGTACAAAACACGTCGACAAAACATTAAGAAAAACGCGATCTCTACACCGGAGAACGCAATACCTGCATTAACCTTCTTTAAAACGTGAATTTGATTTAATATAGATTATGTGCATGTTAAATTTTTGCTGCGCGCGATCACGTGTGGTGTGATCGCGCATGTTGTGATCCGGACAATTGAGTGACTATCGTGTGAATGGAAGGTTTTGAATATTATTTGTCCAGTTTCGCTACGCTATTCGCAACGAGAACGGACGCTTTGCGCATGCGCCACTAAGCATACTTCTTGATAGAGTTCCGAAATCAACACTAACGGAGCTGCAAAGACTAAGCTATCGTAGTTTCGAAAGCTATGTGTACACCAGCCTTTTTTTCGAAACTAGGATATTAGTAGCGTCGTAGTTTAGCTAGCTGCGATGCAAGATTAAAGGGGTACTCCGCCAACTTTTTTAGCTACCCCAACTAACTATATTTTCGGAAACACCGGCCCTTACCCTTTCCGATATGCTATTTAGTATCGCGAAACTCAGAATAATTATTGTGAAATCGGCGAGTGGAAATGATGCCAAAACCAGCATTCAAATATACTCGCGTTTTTCAGTACAGTGACATCAGGGGAAGGTAAGCTTGCTGGTCGAGCGGGCAGTCTAAGAATGGACCATGCCGAGCATTTGCTTTCTACTGCTACGCGGGTGCTGGAGGGAGCTTTCAAAGCATTCATTTGGCACTACGAAACTGAGTGTAATCACTTGGAAACAAACTTTACAGTCCAAAGAGCGAACCCCAGCTGCCTTTCCCTGACGTCACTTTTTAATTGTGGCCAGTAGAAATGTTCACTTTGAAAAACACGGTGTAGTCCAAAATTGCAAATTCAATAACATGGCTCAATGTTTTCCCCCAATATTTCGTTCAGTATTTCAGCAATGTTTGTTAGTGTGTTTACCAAAGTTTCAGGCACATCGAGGATTACGAAGGAAACGCCGGAGTGCTAAAACTAAAACGGCACCGCACCGTTGATATAATTCTTGGTGTTTGTTTAAATGGCAGATGCCGAGAACTGCCTAGTAATAGAACCGGTGTAATATATATATATTGTTGTTGTTTTTTTGTTGTTGTTTTTGTGAAAGAGAATAAACATTAGGAGGTTCTTGCAGGTCGTTTCCGCCATCCAGCAACACGCTCCACAACCTGATACCAGATTCGAAACTTCGCGGACAGGGCTATTGTCGCAGTGCGCGAACTACGGGGGGCGTGTCTCTAGCTATCATCATCATCGTTTGTGACGTCACGGGTAGGACGGACTGGGACACACCGCGCAGATCCTGGATCCCTCGGCTTGTCAGCTCGCTTTATGCGCTGTTCGGGTAACGCGCGGCAAAGCCCGTTTCACGCGATGGGTTTATTTGGCGAGGTGATATTTGTAGTAGAACTTTCACAAAAGCTTGAAACTGTGGCACACATCGTCGTGCTAACAAACACTTTTAACGCTAAGGTGGCGCTCGAAAAATGATGCGCTGTTCTCTACCAGAGTTTAAAAAAAAAAATGCGTGATGATGAAAATAGAATACCCATCTCTTTACGGGTACAACATCTACCACAGCGAATGGGCTATATTTTATTAGGATTCGGACCAAATAAAACTGATAAATGATTGTCTCATCAAATTGAAAATAGAAAAGTGAAATTCGAGAACCTCTCGCGTGTGCAGTAACACTTCAGTGGAATTGATCCTGTTGGTTCCAGTGTGTTCTGTGAGTGTCGGTTTCTTATTAGTTCCAAGTTGATTCCTTTCTTTGTTTACTGGTTGAAAAAAAAAGCAGTCAACGAATATTTCCTCCAAATAACTGGCAGGAAGAAGCGGTGGCTGGCTTCCGGAATCGTTTCAATTAAATCCCTGCTTATTTACCCGGTCGACGAGAAACGAGCGAGACCCCTTCGCCGTAGAAGTCTTAAATCTAGTAAGTCGATGACACTTCAGCGCCCCCAAAGAAATGACATTTAAAACTTCATGAATTACTACCCTTTGTGTGTTTAATTTTTGGTGCCCAAGAATTGCTCATAATGCATGATATGCTTCTCAGCGAATGATTTTAATTTGTGAACAATTCTTAGTAAAAATAGGATAGAGCAACTTAATCAATTGCCTGAATTTGTCGGAGCATAGCCGACTATTTAAGAATTTATGAAAATTTCTGCTTTTCTTTCGAGCAGAAGTCGAGATGTAACAAACTTCCTTGTCACATATTTGATTCGGGAGGAGCTAAGTGTTAGTTACTGACGAGCATTTGTTCGGCAGCAACTGTCGATCACACTTGGATAGAAGCGTCGGTATCGGCAAGCTCAATGGAGCTAAAACGAGTGTGCGGCGCTTTGCAACACAGCTGCGTGCGCGTGCCCAGCTAAGAAGGTAGCACGTCATTTACTTTGGTGAATGCAAAACCCTTTTTCTACAGAAGCCTCCACAGATCCGAAGTTAAAGAAAAAGAATCAGAGAGGCTGTGACTAGCCCTGACGCATGCCGTGCAAGCTGTAATATGAAACTATACAAGCTTGTTTTCGATGATTTTGAAGTTTTTCTAATATATAAAAAAAACTGCTTCGAGGCGCAATTATTCATTAAATAGATCACTCACAAAATATTTTTACGCGTTTTCTTATTAAATAAGCCGTTTTTAATCTTTATACGTGCGAACTAATATAGCTACTCCGTGCTTTGACATAGCGTGTCGTTTGCTCGCATCCTACAAACTGCTTCACAGGAAGGCGCCCACCAGGTGGCGCCACCATTACATCTCGTCGCCAATATATTGGTGCGCATGCACAGTTGCACTGCCTTCCTTGCGGAGAGCAGTAACGAACACGGTTTATCAAAACTCGCTGTTATTTTAATCTCACTAATCAACCATTGTCCTGATGATTGTTTGTATTTTGAGGGTCTAGATTAAACTTTCCGTCAGAATTTGAACGTTTGAGGCTTGAAATTTCACCATGGCGTAGAAATGTGGTTTAGCTACGTATTTATTAGAAAAGCAACCTCAGTTAAGAATTCGTGTTTTTCTGTGTATTTCCCGTTTTGAACCGAGCTAAAGGATGTCGAAGCAACTCTGTAAATATCGGGGGGGGGGGGGGGGGGGGGGGGGGGCGGCGGGGGAACTAACAATTACTTGATTCCATGCTGCCTATCTCAAAGCAGCTGCTAGCGGTGACCTAGATTTGACGCTGAAGTGCACCTGATATCTTAAGTGTCAAACTATGTTTGGAGCCAGACAAATTTTTATGGCTTAGTCTTTACAGGCCATAGGCTGCAATACGTAATGTTTGGCAGTGATATGTTAATCACCGCGCTTTGACCGAGCCTGCAACCTCCGTGAGTGCGCTCGCGGAATTTAATGTGATTATTGGGGAGCAGAAAACCCCCCCGCCTGTTCGCCCCCAAAATACTAACAACGCAAAAGAAAAAAAGAAAAAAAAAGAAAACGCGCTTTGCACAATCGTTCGTCGAATCCATTACAACTTACACTTTCTTGTCTACTTCCTGTCTTTCTCCCTCATTTTCTTACACCAGAAGCCCCATACAGCAAGAATTTCATTCGAATTTTTTCTCCTCTCTAGTACCAATCTGCTCTTCCTTCTCCTACCTCCAGGTGTCGTTTGTACCGATCATCCATCTATAAATGTTAAATACACGTTGTTCTTTTTTTTTTAACAATGTACATATTTGCTATGATAGCCCCTGTTTGTAAACAGAGACACGTGTGCTCGAACGCAGCTGTATTAGCAGTGCTAAATGAAAAACCACGGATCCTCCAGCGAATATGACACAGTCCAATGCGAAATGAACCAGCGGCATTGTACTCTGTGAATCTCTTTCCCCACCCACTAAATTCGTACGCAAGTTATAATCCCAAACTTTCCTAGTGAACTTGGGATCGGAACTTACAGTCGTACTCGCTGTCTTCGGCGACGACAGCAAGCGGCAACATCATCAGCAGCAGCAGCGGCAGAAACCGAGTCGTAATGGATGTCGACATGACGAGAGCTTCGCTAAGCATCAAAAGTAAAACTGCCTGCTTATTTTTTTTTCCTTCAAAGCAAATTACTAGCCAAGCGGGAATAGTTTAAATTTCTCCTAGAACCAAGCAGAGTGTTTATATACACCTACCACGCAGCCTGAAAAAGGGGAGGGGCGAGGGTTGCCCAGGAGATGCTATCGTGGCTCCCTCCTCAGATGCGCTTTCCACACGATAACGCAACGATCACGCGGTTCGGTGATCGCTGCAGGGGCTCGACGGGGGGTGGAGGTGCACGTGAAAGTGAAATCTTACAGGGGCTCGGCTGATTAACGCAACTGATTCGCGGTCGTCACTTAAAAGGATGTCTACGTCGCTCTCGTCTTTATCGATTACGCACGGCCGCACTTATCCGCTCCTCTTCGCTGAATTGGTACCTTGGTATCTTCCACCCCGCACAGTTTTACATCATCTATGATAGCATCTAAGTCGCCGGGTACGATGTATCCGAAAACCAAAACGAATTTAACGGATACCCAGGAACTGTTAAATGTGATAGCATTTCTGAGCGTCCGTGACTCGGTTTGTAATTAACGAAGTAAGCGGCAGAAATCTTATATGAACCATTGTGCAGTTACCCTAATTTATATATATCGATGCTTCAATTGCTCATACGGGGGGCAATGCGCTCAATTAAAGTGCTGCGATGTATTAGCTTCTGATCGGCAAACACAGTTGCTAAGGGTACTATTACCTTTACAGGCATGTGTGTGATATATTTAGAGAGAAACATTTGAATTCCGGCAATGCTACAAGAAAAAAAAGTTCGGCTACGCGAATTCTTGTTGTTTGTATTTTGTTTTTATGCGAGGGAAAACTTTGTGGGCGTCGACAAAAATATTTCTAAAATTTTCACATCCGTTCCTAGGTAGTTTATTAAAGAAACATTTACGCGGGATAACATGGTGCAAAATGCTATCGCATTTCAGGAACAATGTTTGACAACAATGTTTTAAGTATACAATATAAAAGGGAACATACATTTTGCTAATTTCATCTAGAATCGGTCAGGGTAAACAAAGGTTATAATTCTAAATTTTTACGAAAACAATGTTTAGGGGGGCAATTATGTGCCAATCACAAGTTCGGCGGATATTCTTTATTTGCTTTCTGGTTATGTACCAGAAACTCCGGAAGTCTTTCCTGGAAGGGGGGGGGGGAGGGGAGGGGGATTCGAGGTACCCGCTAATTCCTGTGTTTCAGTTGGTTCCAGGATAACGTTTGGTGCCATAGTTTAAAGCGGCTCTCCAATGAGGTTAGCACTGTTTTGAAATCTGTCCTGAAACGGACCTCATCGAACGTAGAAACATGGAGGAAAATTGTGCTTTCCGGAAATTTGAATTATTTTGGGAGTTGAACGAGAATTAAACTTACTAAAAGAAGCAAAACATTTTTTTGCTTCGTGACGTCGAAACAAATTCATGATTTGTGGGGACCCTCTCCTTGGCTCCTCCGCTCTCCGTGACCTTGCCGGTCCCCGCCGCCGTATTGTCGGGCGCTCCTTCGTTCCCTGTGACCTTCCCGTTTCCAGTCGCCGTCCTGTCGCGGAACGTCCGAGCTCTCCGGGAGGAACGGGGCAAGCGCCCCCTCACCCAGCGCTGACGTCGGAGGGTCGGCTCGCAGCAAGGTTCCCGATTGGACGGTCGGCGGGACAAGGATTTGGGAAGGTCTTAAGAGGGGCACGGAGACAAAGGAAGGGGTCTTGGGCTTGGGCTGCCGACTTCACAAGGGACCGGTCATGGAGGTGAGCTCGGACGGCGCTGGACGCTGGCGCAGGGAGTTAGGGCACTACGTCGAGTGGCGGACTCGACAAACGGACCGGACAGCGACCCTGGACGACGACGTCCCCATGACGCGGTGTGAACGACCACCGCTGGGACTCGGAGAAGCTGCTCGGGCAGCGGACTCTCCCCCGGCCTTGCTGTTGACCGTCCCCCGATCCCGAAAACCCCCAAGGCAATGAGTGAGTGAATAAACCCTTTTGCCGAGAGCGCAGTATTGCAGTGTCATATTCATCCGGGAACAGGGTCTGTGGGAATCGGAGTTAGAAGATGCCCGCAGATTGGGGGGTCGTACCGAAGCTGTCTCCCGAGGACGTGCACGCATCGTCGCATCGCCGGCCTCGTCGCTGTAAGGTACTGTACTTACGACCAGGGTATCGGAACAAAACGAAAACCAAAAACGAAAAACGAAAAAAAACGATATTTTTTGGCGGAACGGAAACGTAATCGAAACGTTATTTATTATTTTGTTCCGGAGTGAAACCGAAAAATTTTCTTATCGGTTTTCGGTTCAAGGGAAAATATCAGGTATTTCAGTAATTCGTTTCACGCAGCGAAGAGACTGCCGTTGGTTTGTACCATAATTAAAGGGAAGACAAGCAAGCCATCGCCCCCCCCGTCTAAACTCCGGGCGAACAAGCATAGCAAAAACAAAACAAAAAATACAACGAGAAACAAAAAACATGACTCAAGGCGCCATTGCTTCCCACCAATGAGAGCGCGGTGGCGCGACGCCTCCACACGCTCGCAATGCTCTCCTTGGCACTTGCGCCCTCTCCCTCCATGTTTTCTTCGGACGACACAGACAGACAACAGATCACGGCAAGCGCGGGAAGTTTGTGACCCGGCGTTGTAGAAGTCCATCTTTTGTTTTTCAACGGATACGGCAGTCTGAGACTTTGTTGCAAAAGTGTACTTCTTCATCCCTATGGGCCTTCAGGGCCTTCTCGGCGCTGAAATTTATTTTATCGGACCAGAGGTCCTGCCTTTCACCGAGCACACTTGATGACGTGCTGCTTCTGAGATCATGCTCGGTGCCTTGATCATTATCTCATGCTCAAGGCAATGAACATGATCTCAGAAGCAATGTCGTTTCCGCAGATTCCTCTGGAGCGCCTGAATTATCTATTTTTGTGTAAAAATAAACGTTACGTTCCTTTTAATTTTTGTTGCGATTTTTTTTATAGAAAGAAACCGTTACGAACCGTTACGGAGCATTATTTTTTCGTTCGGGAGCGGAAACGGAACGGAAATTTTTCGTATGGAACGAAAATAAAAACGGAACGAAAAACATTTCGTTTCAACACCCTGCTTACGACCATGTAAGGTGCTTAACTTGGAAACAGGCCCACTCGTCACAGCCAAGTCGTCATAGGGAAACTGGTCAAAGAGGGCTTCTCGTTCTAGGTGAATCCGTAGTAGGGAAAGTGGTCGCAGTGACCTTTTGGTACTTAAAAAGTTCGTCACGGAATTTTTTTTTTTTTTTTTTTTTTACCGGGGGGCGGGGGGAGGGGATTGGCTTCAACCTGAAAAGTGGTCGCATCGAACTTGCCGCTGTTTCAAACTTGGCCTCTCCTTTTGTTTGTTTGCAGGGGGCGGTTGTGGTTGGCTTTTCGGTGTTATCTTTACTTTAGACGTCCATTTGTTAAAAGACCCTCTTTGGAAGCTTTGCTAGGTGGTAACTTTCTGCGCAGTGACAAAACAGGGGCCACCCTGCGGTATGACCTCCACACCAGATGCTATGGCGTAGCAGTTAGGAATAGTCTTTGGCTACGTTTACATGGATGCGACAGCAGCGCATCGGATCCAGTTAGCGAATCGGATCCACTTCAACCACTAAGTTTACATGGATTCGGATCGACCAGCAGCGGCACCTCGTGTCGAAGGATCACAACGCAAATCTCGTGACCTTCAGATTGTTTTCGAGGTGTCCGGTTTGCCTAGCGGCAGGCGAAGCAAAGCTCCCGTAATCCCTCGCTCGAGCACTCGATTTGATCCGCTACCGTATACATGGAGAGTCTCGATTCGGATTGACCATCTCAAACCACCCCGTCCCAGCGGATCGGATCGGATCAGATCTGATCCGATCCGAGTTGTTTACATGGACCGATTCGATTCGTTAACTGGATCCGATGCGCTGCAGTCGCATCCATGTAAACGTAGCCTTTGGGGGCGTCTTTTTTCTTCTCTATCTCTACTTCAAGGGGGGTTTTCCTTTGAAGCAGCTTCGAATACGTATATATAGGTTGTATTCAGTGGCGGTCATAGGTGAGCTCGCTGCTGCTTTCGAACCACCGAGGACGAGAGAGAAGGGGGAAAGCTTCTTTTTGTACGAATATTGAGTACAAGTTAATCTTCTATAATCTTCTAAAGGGAGAATAGCGACGTCTGGAGAAGCCTGGGGCATACAAATTAAAGTCCCGCTAAGAAGAGAGTTTCTCCTTCCCTTCTTCTCTTGTGATTGCCCGAGAGCTGACGCGAAACTCCTCCCGAGCATGCGCTGCGAGCAGTTACCTAAAATATGGCGTCAAGTGAATACATCTGCTGACCTTCAGATAGCACGACCGCAATCCGTAAGATGGAGCTAACTAAAACCCAGCGTGGTGCTCCTATGTTTCTGTGCGAAGGGTATTCGTATACGCGTAGCCGATAAGACCCCGACGCTGTGTACTGGGTCTGTAGAGATGGAAAGCATTACAAGGCCAAAGAAGTTCCGGAAAAAATGTCCCCGAAAAAAAAGGTCCCAGGTAGAAAGTAGAAAAAAACGTCCCCAAAGGGACATTTTTTTCGCTTTCCTGGGCTTTCCCTGGTTCTCATGGCCTTCGGGTGGTCCTGTCATTGTCCGGGCACAAATGACCTGAGTCCACACTCGTTGAAATGCAACGCCGTATTCACAACCTCTGCAAAAGGTACGCCGCTGGGGCAATCGGAATTGAAGATTTCATGCGTGCCGTCGGCTGTACGATCCGCTTTTGACTTTTGTGTATGAATCTACAGTGTGTCGATTCACTCCTGATTTTGTAAGATTACATATCAACAGTGTTTGTTTTTTATTGTGAAATAAACATTTATAACACTTCTATACTTTGTCTCATCCTACGATGGACTAAAGGCCAATGCCACGGGCTGCCAGATCCAATCACGTTTACGCTAAACTATGACAGGCTTAGCATTGATTAGTGGTGGACAAATAATGCTCCGAAATTAACCCATAAGCGTTGCGTCATTTCTATACCTTCGACACTGCAGTGAGCCTGTACGTCGTGGCTTTTTTTTTAAATGTACAATTGTTGAGCCACTCACTGCTATCGGATTAGAACCACGGTTCGCCCATTCA